TCATGCGCACCCCTTACTTGTTTCGCATTTTAATTCCGAAGGCTGGTGGGCATGATTGATATTTATATCTGGGGGTGAGTCGAATGACTCTGTCTGCCAGCAGACCATGCAAAAGGTACTGAGTTTTTGCTTGGGGGAGCAGGAAGAAGCCGGCAAGTATCCTGTGGACCACGTAATTGCTTACCTTACCTGCTTTCAGCACATGATTGGTAACCAGAGTTAGCCATTTTGTATTAATGCATCAAGTTTTGCCACAAGACAAATTTTGATGCTTCAAGGCGTGCAATGGGTTTATTTTGTTCCATATTCTTGGTTATTTGCCCCAAATTTCTTAAAGTGGTCCCTCATGGCCGCCTTAACCAGATGTTTTCTATAGTTGCCATGGTTTGCTGACCGGCAAATGACTGTACTGCATACATGCACTATATTTTTAACACAGCGATACTCTAAGCTGCACAACAATTATAATGAGTTGGATATTGCTATGTAACAAATAGTCAGACCGCTCCATTTAAAATGTGAAGCCAACATCTCAAGCTCTGTCATGAAATATGAATGAACAAGCCCAAATGGATGCATTCGCTGCAGCTGAAAAGGCAAGCAGCAATACTGGCATGGTCATCTCAAAGTCATGTTAGTTTTGTAGAAGAGAGATTGTTTTGTGGAGCATATCCATTACTGCCCTTGACATAGGCCAACCATGACAATCAAAATAAATTGTTGAAAGTGATTTAAAGTGTTTTGATTTGCGTGTTGTCAACTTTGATGTCAACAAGCATGCACAAATAACCCGAATAAAAATGCAAGTTGAAACCAGCCAAAAACTAGCTTTAAACATCATGTTTTTATCACAAGTGCTGCTGTCAACAGATAGGTGAGTTGAGATGATGTTCATCATATGGGCTACTCTAAGTTAGGTTAAGTTGGTCAAGTGCATGGCAAGTGGCAATAGGCATTGTGCAAGGATCAGTAACTCACAACTATTGCTGTGATACAAACAGATTATACAGGATGAGATGATGTGAGGCCTGTTTAGGTTAGGCATAGGCTACTTTCATGGAAATAAGCATTGGTATTTTGTACCAAACAGTGGCAAAATGTTTGCTTTCCCTGACCCCACCTTAACAGAAGCCAGAAGTATGGCTGTTGTGTTTGACTTGGTGATGAGCTGATGCGTAGGAGTCCAATGTTTTTTGTTTTGTTTGAGTGTTTTGTGCTTGTTGAATTTTCTGTTGTTATTTTATTATGGAATTCCTTTGATTTGTTTTATCTTAAAAGTGCTGCGGAAGGAATTAAAAAGTGCACCATCAAATTATTGGTGTCAGTATTTTGCTATGCTCATAATACTGTCATAAAAGTACTATTTGAACACGTGCCCGGTTGGCCGGCTAGATATTCTTCGTTTGGGTGTGGGGGTCAATTTGACCCCCCCCCCCTGAGATCTCGGGAACTAAGAAAGCTAGAGACACCAAATTTACAGAGTGTCTTGACCTATACGTGAACTCACTTAGCTTAAGTTTTCAGCTTCCTAGGTCATAACCTTCAGGTCGAATAACGTCAAACAAGGTCAGATTCCAGGTTGGTCTCTAAAGCGCCCCCAGAACCTAGGCGACTGTCTCTAAGCAAAAGGTCACAAGCCCAATTGAGGTCATGGACCTTGTTCGACCCATTGAAGGTCATGGTGAACAAAGTGATACAAGACTGCTCTGCGTTTTCATTTGAATAAGCGACAAAGATTACGCTAGGCAGTATGTTCCTAAAACAAAACGTTCGACCCGTGTTGTCTTAGGTCAATGGCCTGTTCTGACCTCTAAGAATCAATTGAAAATGCATGATGCTGCTCCTGCTGTCAATAAATTCGAAATGAGCACCAGAAACTATCCCATACAGCAACCCCTAGAGTGATAAATCAGGTTGGTTTTGACCTTGGTCTGATCATTATACCTGACCTTAGGTCAACGTAATTTGCTCATTCAATATTTGCGGTGCCTGAGAAAGCATCTCAGATATGTATGTCTTTGTCAAACACTCGGCCGTTGTATCAGATTGAGCGATTCCCTAGAAATTGCCTTCGCTGAAACCATGGGCTAACTTTGACCTGTCATAGGTTAGCGACCTTACAATGTACATCTAAAATGTGTCTGTCAAACGATCCGCTATGCAATTTTCTACAGCTATGCAAAGTGTGGCGCGGCTACGCCGCGCCGTTCAAAAGCCATTCGGGAAGAGCCCTCGGGGGAGGGGGGGGGCAATTTGCCCTCCCCCCACCCAAGCGCGTGTTGATGTATTCTGTTTCACTTCAATGGCCTAAGATGTAAAAAAACGAAATAGCTTTGTCAGGTTTCTGATATTACGTCCACGCCAACTTGAAATACATGTCGTTGTTTGCTGCAGCATCCGCCACGAGCTCATAAGTTCCGTCTTTGGTGAATGGATTTTTCATTCCCGCACCGTCTTTTTGCAATCGAATTTTTTCACTCCCACCCTAGCTCAAAGGCGATTCTACCTTCCTGAATAAGCTGCTCAAACTGATTTGAGGTGTTTTGATTTTTGCTGTCAACTTTGTTTGGTGTTAACAAGCTGACACAAATGAACTGCACAAAAACACAAGTCAAAACCAGCCAAAAATTAGCTTCATCACGTTTTACCACAGGCCACTCTAAGTAAAGTTAAGTTGATTTATTGCATGGAAAGTGGCAGCAGAAATTTTATAAATCACTGACTCACATATGCTGCTTGTTATATATATATATATATATATATATATATATATATATACATATATATACATATATATATATATACATATATATAGTTAATATATATAATAATATATATAATATAGAATAAAATAGTAACTGTAATAAAGTTAGGTTAGACAGTATGAGATGAAGTAGGGCTTCTTAAGGTTAGGCTTAGTCAGGTTACTTTCATGGGAATAAGTATTGGTATTTTGTAAGAAGCAGTGACATAACATTTGCATTTTCTGACACCATCTTAACAGAAGCCAGAGGTACGTCTGTTGTGTTTGACTTTGTGATGTGTTGGTGTGCAGGAGTCCAAGGCTTTTTTGTCTGAATGCTTAAAGCTTGTTCAATTTTCTGTGTTTTATGTTGAATTCCTTCGCTTTGTGTTGTATTAACAAAATTTGTGGAATGAAAGTGCAAAAGGCAGCATCAAAGCGTATATAATAGTTTTTATGCTTGTCACACTGTTGTGAGATTCCTATTCTTTGATGCATCCTGTTTCACTTAAACGACCTAAGATGTTTAATAACAAAGGCAGTTTTGTCATGTTTGTGATATTACGTCCATGTCAACCTGAAATGTACATCTAAGTTTGCTGTAAAATTTTTCACTGACCTATAAGTTCCAACTTTTGAAAACTGAATTTTCCCTCCCGTAAGGTCTTTTTGCGATGAATTTTTTCACTCTCGTACGGTCTTTTTGCGATATAATTTATCACTCCCATACGGTCTTTTTACGATGAAATTTTTCACTCCTGCCCTAGTTCAAAAGCGATTCTAGCTCTCTGGACAAATTTCGACAGGAGAAATAGCGAAAGGCAAAAGGTCGATCGCAAAGTGTGCGCTCTCAAAATAACGAATCGGCTAATATTAATTCCCCAAAATGATGGCACGCAAAATATTGAAACGCAGAATATCGATTCTGCGAAATGTTGCCATTGCAAGAACATTGCAAAGTACCGGCAGGCTAAATATCGACATGCTATATAGTGCTAGGAACAGGATTATAGCCTGCTGGGCGCACAATTTTTCGTACAAGATGCAAAGGAAGTTGGCCTTTGGGCATGAGCAAAGCCGATGCTGTCCGTTTTCGTCACGTGCTGGCTTTTAATGTTCAAACAAAATTGCCACTGTTATAGATATGCCGGCATAGACATATGGTATAGATAGATGTAGATGGGTATGTAGTATATATAAATGTATATCTATGTATGTGGTATATATAAATATGTATGCATGTGTGTGGTATAGATAAATATGTATGTATGTATGTGGTATAGATAGTATATGTATGTGGTACGGAGGGGTATACAGGTATGGTGTATATAGGCACCGATACGGTATAGATAAGATATAGATTTGCACCTCACCGCTAGACTACCATATGCTGTCATATTTTCTGGTTTCGTTTGTTGCCTACGCCAATGCCATGGAATACAACGGTTGAATTGAACTCACCGCGCTTTTCAAATATGCTTAAATGGACCTGTCACAGTGCAGGACTGAAATATGCCATAAATGTGAAACTCCATGTGTATTTATTTCATATTGCAGTAACGAGTGAGCATTATGTTGACAGATATCGCAGCTACATCAACCATCACAGCGTTTTAACGAACTTGCCCGTGCAATTTTTGCCGCGCATACCGACGCCCCAAGCGCGAAGCATCGCGCCAAGTATCAATATGAGGGACTTGCAGTGCCTCCGTCTCTCCTCTCCCTCTCCCTCTCCCTCTCCCTCTCCCTCTCCCTCTCCCTCTCCCTCTCCTCTCCCTCTCCCTCTCCCTCTCCCTCTCCCTCTCCCTCTCCCTCTCCCTCTCCCTCTCCTCTCCCTCTCCCTCTCCTCTCCCTCTCCTCTCCCTCTCCCTCTCCCTCTCCTCCCTCTCCCTCTCCCTCTCCCTCTCCCTCTCCCTCTCCCTCTCCCTCTCCCTCTCCCTCTCCCTCTCCCCTCTTCCTCTTCCTCTCTCTCTCTCTCTCTCTCTCTCTATCTCTCTCTCTCATCTCTCTCTCTCTCTCTCTCCCTCTCTCTCTTCTCTCGTCCTCTCTCTCTCTCTCTCTCTCTCTCTCTCTCTCTCCTCTCTCTCTCTTCTCTCTCTCTCTCTCTCTCTCTCTCTCTCTCACTCTCTCTCTCTCTCCTCTCTCTCTCGCTCTCCTTCTCCTCATCTCTCTCTCTCGCTCATCGTCGTCTCTCTCTCTCCTCTCCTCCTCTCTCCCTCTCGCTCTCTCTGTCGATGCATGACAGATGCCTACATACCATCTTCTGCGCATTGCTCCTGGGTCCACACGCGACAGGAAGCTCGGATGGGTTCGCGGATGGTCCCGGTGCAGAAGCCGACTCTCCTGGGGATGGAGAACGTTCGGATGATGTGTTGTCTGATGAGGAGAGCAATGACAATAGTGTGGTTTGATGCGGAGGGCCTGGATTATAAGTGTAGTCTGGTGGGGAGAACAAGGGCAATAGTGTGGGATGATAAGGAGGGCCGGAACAATAATATGGTCTGATGAGGAGGGTCCGGGCAATAGGGTGGTGTGATGAGGAGGGCTCGGACAAGTGTGGGCTTATTGATAGGTGGATGCCAAACTCGCAGATGACATCCAACAGTGGGAGTGAGACATACGTCCGCACCGGAGTGAATTGCCAAGTGCATAACGGAAATGCGAAAGACTTACGACTGTGCGAAGCCACTATCTGGCGCCGGGCCTCGCAGTGTGCGGCGCCAACCGCCCAACAGATACAAACCAAGGGTAACGGTCCCAGCTGTCCGACAGATGCGAGTCAAGGTTGATGGTGCCAGCCGCCTGACAGATACCAGCAAAGGAGGCGACCAGCAAAGAGTAATGGCGCCAGCTGCCTGACAGATACGAGCCAAGGGTAACGGCGCCAGCCGCCTTGCAGATACAAGCCAAGGCCAACGGCGCCTGCCGCCTTACAGGTACGAGTCAAGGGTAGCGGCGCCAGACGCCTGACGGATAGACAGATACGAGCCAAGGGTAACGGCACCAGCCACCTGACATATGAGCTAAAGTTAACGGTGCCAGCTGCCTGACAGATACGAGTCAAGGGAAACGGCGCTAGCCGCCTGACTGATACGAACCAAGGTGAACGGTGCCAACCAGGTACAGACACTAGTCAAGGGTAACGGAGCAAGCCGCATGATAGATACGCCAGATGCGGGCCAACGTTAACGATGTCTGTGACTGATATAAGCCAGGGATCTCATGGCTTGTTTTCTTACCAGCGTTGTCCTCATTTTCCTGGACTTCTTCGTTGATTGCGTCCTCGGTGATTAAGGGTTTGAACGCCGCATCCCTTTTGCTTTTCTCGCCGAATTTGCTGTTGTAAAACTTCAGCGCACTGATTGCCGCATATGGGTTTTCTCTTTGTTCCTCCTTGCTGAAGACATAACAAACACGTCACACGGATGTCTTAGTCATGTTTGGCATGCTAAAAGCAAAGGGACGGTTGTGTGAAGCCTAAAGCCAGCTGGGCGGAGCTGTAAGCTGACTCAAAGAGGAGAGGCAGCCTAGCATCATGCTGCTCCGTAATGTCGCGTGGCGTCAGGTCTCGCCGGCATTGTCGGCACTTCACAGGCGCAGCGGTATGGCGTGCTCCGCTCCGATGTGCACGCGCGCCTGCACAGAAAGCACGGCAATAACACGCTGGAACCGGAAATGAGGGTAGCGGGACGTGCCGCGGGGTGTGATGCACTCAGCCAGAGCGAGCCGATGGAAGGGGACCAGCGGGCAACCTGTGAAGACGAGCACCAAGCCCCACACCGGCCAACTGCCACAACGACTATCCGAATAGGGCGGTAGACATGCTTGGAAATCATCGTCAATGCCGTAGCAGCCGTGTTACAATGGGGTTTCCTCAAGCACTCTTAGCGCATGAGAGCAATCACGATCGCGGCCAACTCGACACTTTGTGCGCCAGAAGCCACCAGGTGGTTCGAAGAGCCGGTTGTGCGGACCTGGGGGGGGGGGGGGGGGGGAGGGTGGCGGACCGATCCAGTGTTGGTGGGATGAAATGGTAAGTCTATGTTGTCATGTTGTCGTGGGAATCACCCGTAGTTTGTTATTAAGGCTGTCTGGCGCATCGACCTTGCGGTCACATGTCGCCCATGGGAATCGGTCGTTTCTCTCCACGCACCACCGTATGTCTCACCTTACAATGCGAAGCTGTTACCTGCAACACCCCCCCTGACTTGAGAGATCCCATTTCCCCTGGAATTTCCGTTTCCTGGTTGTCGCCGTCTGCCCCGGTGGCGAGTCGGTGCCCGCCTGGCGCCCAGCCGCAGGCGAGGGTCGGGTCGGAGCCGCGCCTCACCCACCTGAGGAACTTGTCGATGAACCGCTGCCACGGTTCCGGGAGGCCCTCCAGCACGCCGTCCGCGTTCATGCCCACGTGGATGGTATGGGTGACGCTGGTGGGTCCGCTGATCACGGAGACCTGGCTCTCGTGTTTCGGCTGGCGGACTAGGCTGCGACTTAGCAGACCTCTCAGAACCCCTGCCATGCTGCAGCCACGGACACCACGTACCACCAGATCAAGCCCGGGTCAACTCGGCGTCAGTCCTGCAACAACCGTCGCATGGTGTTTTCTGACGTGCTGATGCAGAAAACATGCTTTCCTATACGCTCGCAACAAAGCTGTATTCTTCACAATGCAGTCCGGGAAGGGACAGCACCAATTCAAATGGCTAGTAATGCTGACGTTGACAGTAATCAAAGCTCTAAGCCTTTTTCCAACCTCTCGTAAAACAGCCATAAGCAAATTAAGGGACTTACTTACTGTGATCGAAAGAAGCTCGACACCACTAACTGCAGCCTCTTCGCAGACCAGTCTTGGGTGTTGCCAACCCACGCCGGAGCTCACAGCGGCTGACGCCGGCGCGTCCCAGCGCGCTAGGCCGGAAGAGGTCCCGAGCCGATGCGGCGGCACAATCGGGGCCCACATCCGGCAGCAGCGGCGGCGGGCTGACGTAGTCGCCTATCGGGAGCGAGCCGCGCAGCTGCTCATATATCAAAGCTCGCCGACTTTTTACGTCAGTAGCGCTCAGGGGCGTCACTTTATATAATTTTGGCGGCATGAAGCCATAATGCTGACCTTAGCCCCCTCCCCCCCCCAATTCTCCTTTGGGCCCCCTCATTGCATGTGAGCAGAGGGCTACTGAACCGAATAAATCCCCAACGGTTATTTTGGCTATTGGTGTACTAAGTCGAAAGCAGTAGATACTTAAATGCATCAAATTTAGTACCACCTTAATTTTGTTCCATTCATTATCGGGTAAGTGCCTAATGTTTGTCCCATGCTAACTCTTTCCTATTTCTTGCTAACTCATCACTCTGCAAATGTTAGACAACCTTTTGTCTTCGAATGCCAACGCCTGGATCGGGAAAATAATAATTGGCTGCCATATGCGGCAGCTTCTAAAAGTACGTGGTGGCCCAGATACAAATAAACATGTTTTCACCCAACAGTGGCAAGTGAATTTGTCGCTCAGTCGTGGCTGTGGTGGTTATATAACACGGCCAGCAACAACGCTGGTTGTTCTGTAATCCCTTAATAATATTTCTAAATATATTTTTCTGTGAATTATATCCCATTTAGGCTTTCCACAAGAAGGCACCTCACATTAGCTTGAAATGGTAAGCCACTCATGCTGAGGAGAATGCTTTTAAATCTACAAAATAAAAAAAAACTTTATAATCTTACCATCGAGGACGCAAATTTAAGTGGCCGAAATCCGGGGAGGAACCATGTTTTGGGGTAGGTTTGGTCAACCCTTTTCGGCTGACCCTTTCCCCAACAGATTTTAGGTGACACTACTGGTAGCTCTACTGCCACTGGCTGACGTCGCGTATGTAGTCTATTGTAAGAGTCCACTGGTGCATTATGTCTTATCTTAAGATTTAATCTAAGCCATTTGAATGGAGCAATTTTTGGCATCAGGGCTCACGCTAAGCAGTGCTCGTTGTGTGAGCCCTCACCCCCACCATCTGATCGTGCAATGCCAGCTGGACGGTAGAAGTCGGTGACGAAAGTTTAACGTGACGCAATGCTCGGCGTGGCCCGCCCTGCCCTCTGACCTTTAGGGCGACCGCTGCTACTGACCGCAGGCCATACCTTTCAACGGAAAACAGCGAGCGCCTAAAGCGACTCGAGCCCACATCGTCACCCGTAGGTGAACCAGAAGGCACGCGCCCCAAATATCGAGGGTCCCAATATCGCCCCAAATATCCTGGCTATCGAGGTGGACGGAGGATATCCTCGGTCACCGTATTACACGGGACAGGTGCATTCTATCGTCTGCGCTATTTTGCGACCCCCATCACTACCCTCGGGTCTTCGAAAGCTAGCACACTCATCGCTCGTCCTCCCATGTACTGGTGATGAAGCTGAAAAGCTAAAGGCGCTCTTCATGTTTCAAATGCGTATATTACACAACGGGACCACGCAGAATGGCCGCTGCTGCCTGTCGTCACCGCAGAGATTCTCTACGTACGCAGCGACACCACCGATATGCACTTCACAAAGTACGCTGTCACGGCCGCACAAAGGGCGCGCGTTTCATAGCTCATTCTTGACCTTGCGCTTCAAAGCCGCAAAAAGGGTGTGGGTTTTCAAGGGTCGTTCTTGATCCGCTCCTTCAGACGGCGCAGGAGCTTGTCTCGGCCACGCTCCGCTGGGCGGCGCTGCCGCCTACCTCTGGTCAGCTCTCGCTCGGTCCACAGGCGCCGCCAGTAGCTCTCCTCCTCCTCGCCTGGCCACAGCACCGTTGTCGACAACGTCGCCACCAAAACCACCAGCGGCCACATACACTGGTCTGGCGCGGCGGCACTAATTAGCCACGGCCAGATAGGCAATGCACTGGCAGAAATGCACAACGTGGAGTCGGCTCGACAAGGATCAAAGAACAACGCAAGCTTCACCACATTTCGCCATGTGTGCGGCGTACAGGCTACTGCGCGCACAGCCGGTCATCTGGCACCAGATGACATGCCACCGGGCACCGGATCACATAACATCGGACTGCACGACACCGGACGCTGGATTACATGACACCGGACACCGGACTGCGTGGCACCGGACACCGTCAGACATAGCCACTCACCACGCAGGAGGCACGGATCCTTCAGATCGGATGTCAGGCAGCTCGCCGCCGCCGCCGCCGAGTCGAACCGCAGGTAGCCAAGCCCGCCCTCCGCGCACAGCTCCACGTACAAAACACCGGGCCGCTGCCTCAGCGTGTCCTGAAAATCGCACACAGCAACCAGTGAGCGACAGCCTGGTTCGATAAACAAAAATCGGACAGTACAGGACCGTGCAAGGACTGGCATAGGTTTCACAACGCGCTTGCAATTTTATATGTATTTACCAAAGCGCGAAAAGCGGCGTGACAGCATGCCGACGGTGCCTGGCGTAGCTTTCATATGTCTACTGTAACATGCCTCACTGTTCATGAGACGTGGTTAGTAACCAGGCAAACGACACACGCGGGAATCGGGGCCAGGCCAGGAAAGGTAAAAAAACAGAGGTCAGTTGATACTAATGGCCCGTTAAAGCTCCCAATTTCATTGACGAGGGGTCGAACCAAATCATACCAGATATAGCCAAAAATTCTTTGGATGGTAGTTCAATACGGCGGTCGGTGATGCACCACAGCACTTTTGAAAGCCGTACAAAGTCATGGAAGTGGGATTAACTTACTGGCAGTATAGTTCGTTGGAAAACAAAGCCCGGCGGACTTCCAGCAGTATCACCTTAGTTGCGTGTGGACGGCGGATTCGCCGCCGCCGCCAGCGGAGATCAGGTACTCACGATCAGCTGTTTGTCGGTGGCGCCGGCTCGGACGGGGGTAAACCGGACGACGGTGGAGGCCACGAACAACGGCGGGACGGATGCCGGCCGGCCCTGAAGTCATAGCGCGAGACGACACGCCGCATCAGCACGAGCTGTGACGCTGACGCACAGCGAAAGTGAGCAAACATCGGCATGTACCTCCAGTGAAGAGTTTCCTCGGCTGAACGTGTCTGCTTGCCAAAGAGCGAACCCGGAGCGGTATAGACTGCCCAAATGCAGCTGTCATACAAGACGTAAGAACACGACTCCTAAAATACGCCCGCGGACACGCACCTCAACGCAGTGGCACCAGCCTCGCCTATCCCCGTCTCCGTGGCGCCGGTCGGGGCCGGCTCCAAGGCATATCGACATTCACGGAAGCATGAGAGCACGCAGCAGACCGAGCGCGCCTAGTACACGCTGCTCACCTGGTCGGCAGAGGTCGGCGGCGCCGCGCCCTCGCGCAGACTGCGCTTGATCGCCGCCATGTTGTCCTTCTGCAGCGCGCGGTACTGCTCCCGGTACCGGCTCCACTCCGACCTGCGGGCCCATACGGCACGCGTCGCTACCGCTGCTCCCGCGCTCGCGCCACTTTGCACGCGAGCCGTTTAGTGCATAACACGTAGCGCATGGAGTACAGAGACGCGCCCTACACTAAAACACGCAGGTTCTGGTCTGGTTGTCACCTGCATGCCATTCGATGCCAGCGACTGGAGGGGTGCGTGTACCGTATGACTGATCTGGCTTCACTAGGATCAATGCAGAAGATATTTTGATAAGCACAGCTCTTGTCGCAACTCACAGCTCATACCTGTACCATACCAGCTCAGCCCCACGACTCACGTCCTAACAACTCACAGTGGCATAATTTGTATCCCCAGCAGCTCTGTGTCTTCTGTTTCCAGCAAATGTGGCTTGCGTCCGCGTCTCGTTCTTCGGCGCTTCCTCCTCTTCTGATCCGACAAGTCTGTGTCATCCGTCTGCTCCGTTAGCAGCGACGTCCCGTGGCTGGCGTCCTCGCGGTGCGGCTCCGAGCAGCTGGTGGTGCCATCTGCGTGTGACTCGGAGAAGTTGGAATTCTCCGTGTCGGCAGGTGTGGCGGTGGTGCTGCCCTCAAAATGGGACGTGGTGTGCGACGCGCCATCAGCAGGACACTGGGATATGTCCTCGGACTCTGGTGTCTCTGCGAAACGCGTGACCTTCATAGGTGCATCTGAAAACGGGGATATTGGTCATTCGGCCACATTCAATGGAATATGGAGATTGGTCATTGGGTCGTGGAGAATTGGTCGAAAAGGACATATTCGTTGGCCGTGTACTGACGACTTGGTTACCTCAGGTGAGAGGTAAACGAAACAAGTACTCCTTCAAAAACCGTAAGCTAATGCCACAATTGTTAGATGTTCCATTATATACTGTCGCTTTTATCACCTTCTCGGCGACTTCTGACTCATGACTCCACCCAACACAACTAACAGGAAATGCAGTTCACCATCACGGCAGGAGCGGCCGCCAACGGGCCTCACCCCGCGAACTGGAGTCAGTTGACAGCTTCCTCTTGCCAAGCCGGCTGGCGTGATCGGCCTCTCCGCTCGCCCTCGGCGTCGCTGGCCGTCGCGTCGCCGCCTCGCCCTGCACCCCACTCGAGCCGTCGGCAGCCTCGTCCGGGGACGTCAGGTACTCGGGGTAATGCTCCGAGGGCATGCGCCGCCCCAGCGCGCCAAACGCCTGACAGAAAACCCAGGTCAGGCAGCGCAGCTGCACTTTGCAACAATTATTTACGCAGAAGTGTTTTGTTCTGCCTGAAATTTAAGCAGGATCTGTCCTTGAAGTGTACTAACGATGCATTTAATGCTGTGCGTAGCCACAAGCTTTTGAACTGTTGCGTTTGCCATACCAGAAGCGCTAACTTGCAGCACATTTGCAATAACAAACACCCAGTCATTGTTGTCAACCAGCATGTCGCATGCACGACACAGTGAAACACCACGCGTGCCATTCAGTTCGGTACACGGATCACCATCGCGACGTCTGCAAGTAAAATCCTACCTGCAGCGCATTATGTGCCATGTTCGGTGTGCGAAACTCCACAAAGCCGAAGCCGCGGTGGCGGCCGGTGGCGCGATGAAGCGGTGCAGAGACGTAGTCGATGGTGCCGTACGCCGAAAACGTGCGGCGCAAGGCATCCACGCCCGTGGTGCGTGGGATGCTCTCCTGACAAAAACCGGCCCCAGGTCAGCACGTGTGAGTGTGTGGGAGGAGGGGAGGGGGGGGGGGGGAGCGAACGGGTCTGCCACACAGCCAAGCTACGACCATAACGCAGCAGCAGGTAGCTGTGTTCAGGAACGCTGTCAAATTCGCTACGCGGCGTGATCGAGCAGCTTGGCAATCTGTATCACTGCATCGACTATGCAACTATGCCTTTCGCAGCGCAGACCACGACACTATAGCGTTTAGGAAAATGGCATCCGTGTTGCTCGCTTTATGACCAAGACTACCGAACCACGGTGGGGTGCACGAGGCCGCGCGGCAACACCTGTTGGTGTAAGTCCTGCTCTCCCTCTTTGATAATGCTATATTTTCAAGTCTTTTGTTTGAAAATGCCACCCAAAGTCTCGGTGGTGGCGCAACTAGTGTGCCACAACCAGTCACAGTGAAATGACCGTGTTAGTTATGCGTCAGGTGCCATCAGACTGCAGTGACCTGACCTACCCCACTCCAACACAGCACACGTCGTGCAAAACAGCTCACCACGTAAATAGTGCAGAGCTCAGCTTCTCCCTTCAGCGTAAAATGGGAGCGTCTGCACACAGCAGAGCCATCTGGTGACAGCTGGAGGAACTGGGATGTTGACAGTGCTTGTACGATGTCGTCCTTATTGGACGTTAGCGCCTTTATCTTGTTGAATGTCATAAATTCCAAAATCGGAATAACTGCAAAATTAAATAATTAATATCACTGTCATGTAATGTAATCCGTGGCAACGGCAGCAAGAGCATCACATTTCCACAAGATACAGCTCATAGCAATGCAGTAAGTACAGACTTAACCCCCATAAATAGCAACACCTGGTTAGACACAGAATGAGCATGCAATGCAATGGCATGACATTATATGGCGACCCAAAATTTACAAAATAATACAGCTTCTGATATTGTATACTCACATCTGTCCTTCTTTAGGAGTGACTGTAAGTATTTATCACGGGTCAGACTAGAATTGCTGAAGTAGAACTCTATCTGGTTCAGGATCATGGAATACAGCCTTTTCTTGCGCACTCTTTTTCCATTTCTGGCTTCACACATCTCTCCAGCAGAAGGCTCCTGCAAACAATAAAACATTATCATGCAAATTTTGTAAACATGCATTCATGTATTTTGGTAAACGTCCGTAGAGATATAATCAACGACTTTTGTCCATATGGTCATTGGTGTTGTCAAAGGCTAACCAGTAATTCCGAACAACTCAATGTTGAAGATGACCACAACCACAAGTTAAAACATGAGCATCAGCTGTTTGGAACCAGAAGCGAAATTTACCCAATTTACTTGATCACAAACCGTACAACGTAGCACGTATACGGAACGGTCGCGCTGCATCAAGAAAACGTACGGCCAATGCATCTTCACACGCAATGATCCTCTCCTTTTCACTGTAACGGCCCTCACGGCCTTGTAGCATCGTGCGTTTGTACTGTACATTTCCTCAGTGCTAGCGTGTAGTCATGTGTGTGTTAGGTGTTGGTGTGTACATAACAACACGCAAGGGCCCGCTAGGGCCTGGTGTCGTATGTCTTTCGTCAACCATACGACCTCAAAAGAGTGAATGAAGGTCAGCACCTCTTGCCTGCCCGGGCGGGCGGCAGATTTCCGCAACAAATCGGATCGGGGAGCGAGAGATACGGAGGGGATAAGAATAGTCTTAAAGGCACACCAACGCCGGCCCGGGCTGTGCGTGGTACTGCGTCTGAAGAAGCCACCAGTACTCCTCCTTCACCATGTTTGGGCAGTCTATACCGTCGTCAGGGACATAAGACCGACTCCAGTACCACTTTATTGGCCTATGAAAATGAGTCCATTTCTTTCGGAGGCCGATAAGCTGTGATTTCGCTGTACTCTTATAACGGTCCGAATGAGAGTGGACAGATCCAGCTTTAAAGAGGGGGTCCAGGATCCACGGAGCAAAACACCTGACACCGGGAAAGTCTTGTGCGCTTAGTCCAGAAGATGAGCAGCTGGATAATTTAGACGATCATATATTCCATAGTTTAGGTCTACGCTGTTTTAAATAATGTGTGGGTCGCATGCCTACGTTGTAGTTAAGCTGTGTGCAGGCCGTGTGTAGCGTTTGCTTACATATGGGTAGTGGAGATCTGGCGGAGGAGAAAAATCGCATAATTCAGAAAGAAATGAACTAGCAAAACACGCGTCTATTTTTGCGGATAGAGCGACAGGGAACAATCGATGATCTCCGAACCGTGTGGACAGGATGGAAGCCAGCCCAGTCGAGTGCAATCTCCACAGTTGCAATCTTCCTCCCCTAGCATCCCAGCTTATCAGATGTTCAGCTCCATCGCGCTGATCCACTTCAGCTGGCATCCGGAGGGCATAGTGTCGAGCGCAACCACACACACGTTAGCTCAAAAAAGGTCTGAACGTCAGATGTCAAAAGGTCTAAAATATACATCCTGCATACACATCCCTCTCCAGAAAGGCATGAATCAAGGCTGGGCGACCATTTCCAAACGCGTCTGGGCAGAAGACTACGGGTGCGCGCGGTGTGAGGCGTTCCAAACTAGGCGTCCAGACGGAGAGGCCTTTGGAACGATTATAAAAGGAACGCATCGTCCTGGCAAATGCCGCTGTGAGTCAACGACTTGACTGGGTCCTTCTGGAACTGAAAAGCAATTGCAGTTGCTGTCGAACCTCTCCCGGCACAGGCACCTGGCATGGCCAAAACAGATGCGGATCAAACCGGTGGCAGAGGGTCGGAAATGCCCCCTCCGCTAACAGCTTGTGGACTCGTACCGGCACGGGTGGCAGGTCAGCACTTCACAGTGGATAGACGATCTACTGGCGGCGCAGCCGGCACACTTGGCTCCGCGACGAGAGCGGATTGTCAATTTTGAGGCTGCCGGGTCCAGCCAGACTCGGCGGACCTGGGGGAGACAGAAACAATAGCTTGTCCGGGTGGTGGCAAGGGAGATTCACCGGATACAAGAAGCTAGAATTTCGCTCAGAAGTGAGAAATCAGGGCCTAGGGGACACTTTCAGCTATGGTGCCTCACGCTGTTGAAAAGAAGTCCTGTTGTGGGATTGAACGGAGGTTATTGGACTCAAGATGTAATTTCATTGCCCTAATACACCACTGTTTTATTGTTTAGGATGTCAGCGGCTGTCTTACGCTGTCAAAAAGGGTTACAGGCCTCCACCCAGGGGGTCGCCGTTTTAAGGGCATGGGCAAACCTCAGGTTCCAAGAACTTCAGCCCTACCCTGCCATTAGCTACACTACCGCCTTAACGAGGTGGGGGCGGGGAATGCTCCCCCTAGTGAAGACCCACATATTTGATGGGAAAGGGCCATCTTCTAAATCCAAAGCGACAGCGAGACCACCAACGGGGGACGCCCTCTGGTTGCGTGGCAATAGCGGGCAGAAGTCCGAGGGTGTGCCCGGCCCATCGGCCCCAGTCGATCACCGGGTCACGTCTGTCCCTGAAAAAGGCCCTGCCTCTGATGTTGTTTAGAGGTTCAAATAAGAGTGTCAAGATGGGAGGCAGACCAAGTAGGGTGGCCAATTGTCACAGCTAAATTCAGCATTGCAAGACAGATTACTATACTGATTGCACCTCAGATATCCAATGGAAGCACTCATTCGCATGTTTATGGTCATTCTAGGTAAAAATGAGTTCACAGTCTCTCAGGCACCCTAAGTCCTATCAGGATAGTAGCTTTTGAGAGGCTTCAAGTCTGGAGCCAATAAGTGACTCACATCTGGTGATATTGTGACATGTTGCATGCCTTGGTGATTGTGCATGCATCGTTGGTGTCACATGAGGAAGCGGCTTCCATGGTGGTTGCTTGGTGCATGCGGTCATGGACGCTCTTGTTGCTGCATGCCGCATGCCCGTATTTTAGCTGCAGGGCTGTGTGCAGTGTATGGCTAGTCCCCAGCTAATGAGTCCTTTGCATGTGTTGCAGAATGGGTTTCCAGTTTGACAGTGTACTACTTCCTGAATAAACCACAGTTTGGCAGTTGTCACAATATGTACATGAGAAGTACGTTCCATAACATAACCCCAAATTTTTAAAGCTTCTTTCATGTATGTGAAGATCTTGATTATTAGCTCAACACCAAGAACACCCATGACTTCAATGGAGGGTATCCATGCCTTGCAATGTGTAAGTGAAAAAAGTCATGGCATAGCTAAATCCAGTCATTCCAGATGACATGAAGCTGGGAATGAAGCAAAACTCACAAATCATTCTGAGGCTGAAAACAAATCTGAAATCAGCATTAAAAATGACACCAAGCTGATGTCATTGCTGACCCCTGCATATAGCAAGAGGCCAAAGCCAAGGCTGATGCTAACCATGAAAATTAGTTTCATGCTGTACTTGTAGCAAAATGGGAAACCAATGGGGAAAATGATGGGACTATAAGGGCTTAGCCATAATGCCTCCTGCATATATTGTATTTATTTGTTTGTGCTACTCTGTATGGCAATTTGAAAAATTTGTACATTGCATGTCAATGGCACTCCTCCTTCCTCTAAACTTATTGAAATGTTGCCAGGTAAGACATACAAACAGCTATTGACACAATGCTATGTCAGTACAGCAGCATCATTGTTTGCTGCAGCCTATTCAGGAAACATGCAGTTGTTCTTAATAATCCACATGTAGCCTTCAGCAGAGCAAACTGTCCTCTGCATGACTTGCAGTCTGATCCTATTTGCAGCTGTGTATGTGTGGGTCATCATTTACCTCCACTTTTGTAAACCTTCCACATTGCATGACATGCCCTACACAATATTACATTTCACCTAATTTGGAAAACAATATTGCTTGTGCAACAATCTTTGTTATCATTGGATGTAGTTTGCTTGTGGCCCCTTGGATGTGTAAATTAGCCCTGTCCAAGAGATCCTTTTTCATCTACTGTCACCAATTTGTAGCAGGTTCAAATATTACAGGTTATTGCAACACTTTGATGTTACTTTCATTTTATCTGTGCTTGCATGGAGTGGCATAGTCAGGTACCCTTGATGTGAGAAAAAGAGGCATTCAGCTCCAAGTCTTATTGGCAGTATGTTTTGAAACTTCTTATGTTAAGAAAACCATCATTTAAGACCTTCTTTGTTGATAATAGAAACAAACATTCAAAATCAAACTTGTGGGATGAGATTGGGGACATAACTTGTGGCAAAGTGATACCCAAGAAGAAAAATAAAAGTTCAGTCTTGCATGTTCAATTCTGCATCCAAATTGTGCATACATGCAGTCTGATCCAAAGTGAATTATCAAAGCAGTGATACAATACCTATCTTGAGCTTGGAGCTGTGAAAGTGGCCTGGGATATGAAAAAATAGAGCCATTGTTGGTTAATCGGTGAGAGGTATCTGAAATTTGGTTTTAGCTCCTGGGGGTTGAGAACAAAAATGGTAATATCATGGCATGTAGTGAGAACAAAATAACCCGGCTGAATTTGCACTGGGCCACAGTATTAATTAGTAATTATTATCAAAACAGGGCATTGTATGTCAACTGCCGTTTCAAGGGAAAACATATCATAACTAAGTGTATGTATACATTGGTACCTAATGTTAGAAAGAATCATTGTACGCCATTTATCGTGTTTCACGAGGAACATTAAACAATCATAAAACAGGTAGATTCATGCTCCTACCTTCAAATTTTAATAACTACGACAGCGAGCCCCTGATCGCCACACGCACCCCACCTCCTTGACTCCCTAGCGCCGTTTCTGCACTAGTGTTGTGCAATTACAATATTTCCGCTTATCAAGAACTATAAAAAATATACGGGGTCAAGGTAACAAATAATAATGCAATGAAAATCTTTATTACCGCGTCTAGGTATGTTTATGAAACGGACAGGCCAGAGTAGTCCAGAACATAGCCTAAATAGCCTAACCTCACCTAGCCTAGCCTAGCCTAGCCTAGCCTAACCTAGCCTAGGTTCGCGACCGGGCGCCATTGCTACATTATTGATGCGTGGTTACAATATCACTACGCATCAATAACTATAAAACGTAGTGGTCTACGCAACAATAATGCAATGAAATGATCTCTATGTATCCAAGCAGTCAAACGATATTGCATCATTGGAGTTGCACGAAGTGGAACCGTTTAGGGACTCAGTATTGCCTGAGTTTTTATACCAACAGTTTCACCGATAGTAATACTTACGTAGTATTACTAGATTCGTTATACTTAGTATTACATGCAATAGTCTGCCGTCGAATTCGAGCCTATTCTTGAACTCTTTATGTGATAGTCTGCCGCCAAATTATCGAGACTACTCTTGAGCTATATGTATTGGCGCATGTACACCCGGTGCCTTACACGAGATCAGTGCGCGTAATCACCCTCCCAAAAATGGCGTACTTAACCCAAGGCAAACGTTGGCCAACCAACCTAAACAAGTTTCGTTGCTTTAAATTACCTGCCTTTGCCCTTGATTTACGGCCATCACATCTCCGCTCTTTAAAAAACTGCCTCTTTACAAATTCAAACGTGTCGGGGGTAGAGACACATGACCAGACCGGGTCCGAGTAGTATTGGGATCCGGTCGCAGGTCTTGGGCAGTGCGGCGCACGGTTCCGGGCGTGTTGGCGCTCCGGCCTGAAGGGGCATGGTCCGGAGGCGGTTCCTGCTGCAACAGGTAACATACAGGAGCGTCATGATGCGCCTGGACGGTTCCCGGCAGCCAAATGTGCTTGGATCTGTTGTGGATGAACACCGCATCTCCAGGGGCAGCACGGACTCGGAGTGGCCGTGTCTGATGTGGACGTTGTGACCTTCGCGCTGCTTCTCTTGGCGATGCTCCAGGCGTCTTCGGTGATCGTTCCACGACACCATTGCTCTGTGAGTGGTGTGGCGATGATGTCACGTGCTTGAACCCAAAATTCTCCGCCAAGGCTCGGAGCTCCTTCGAGCTGTGTGAAAGCCCGTTGTCGGAATACAAAGTGTTTGGCGACCTTTGCTCGGCGCACAGGTGTTCCAGGACTGTCACAACGCACGCGCTTGTAGTGCTCAACAGTTGGTACACGAGCGGGAACTTGGAGCAGTGGTCGAAGATGAGGACATAGTTATGTTCACTGCGGTAGAACAGGTCGGTGCTGACATCGGTCCATGGGCCAGCTGGGACTGGATGCTGGTGCTCAGGCTCGAGAATGCTGGCACTCGATGCAGGGCGTGACGGCTGACACGGCAGGCAGGCAGCGACACGTTCTTCCACGCCCTTTTTATCCGCAGCCAGTAGACTGCATCACGAGCTCGCAGATCCATCTTCACACGACCTTGGTGGCCGGAATGCGGCTTTTCGAGATACCACGGCTGCAGCTTGACAGGGATGGCCACAGCAGCACCCTTGGCGATGAGTCCGTCGTCGACGACGAGGGCGTCGCGAACGGACCAGAACTGTCTAACTGCTGGAGGTGCTTCGCAGCGTCTAGGTGGTCCAGGATCACTCTCTTGAACTGCTGTAGCGTGTCATCTTACTGCGTTTCCTTCCACAGCTCGTCCGGACATTCCAGCTGAAACTGCACGAGGCCGATGCAGACGTCAAGAGGGATGGTCGTCATCGGATTTGGAGGGTTCTTCGGGAGTCGAGACAGAGCGTCGGAGATGTACATCGTTCTACCCACGCGAACAGGCACACGAACGGTCATGTGACATTCGCGTACGGCCAGGTACACGAGTGCCACGTTAAACTGTGGGTCTGTTTTGCGGATCAGGTAGAACCGTGATGGCGACGCGCTGCATGACATGCAGAGTGAGAGGTCCATGTACACCAGAAGTAAGGTTTCGATCGCGTTGAGAGGCAGTTGGGTCCGTCTGGAGGTGTGGATTGATCAAGTGCGTTCAGCGCGGACGCATCAGACGAGCCGACTGGAATGAAGGAAGGTTTAGTAAGGTCGGCAGAGTGGGCGACAGGAACGGGATGTTTTTATGTAAAAACCGTATACCATTGGCATGCTTTCATGGAAAGCGCTGCATCCCACTTCGTCTCGCATCTCCAGCTCAATTAGGGTCAGACGGGCATTATCTCTCTGAGACGTTACGTTTAAGACAGTGTTTCCAAGGCAGAAGGCAAGAGGTTGCCCAGCCTCACGGTGCATGACAATGGGGGAGGGAGGACTGAAAACGCCCGCAAATGCATAACGTGAGAGGTGGACGGCTCGTGAATACCTAGAAACCATCCGACCCCGGGAACGCATGGTGGCCAACCGAGATGAATAAGAGCGTGGTGTTGGTCGCTAGTGCCGTCGTCAGTGGGGCAGCTGTCGGACCGACTGGGGACAGGACACAGAACGGCGCACTGGTGGCCATAAATCAATCAAATCGAACCGGTTGGCAGGCGAAGCGACAACCAACAGTAACCGTGCGGCTGCTAAGGTGGGGAACGAGGAGTGGACTAACTGTGGTGCAGTGCGCGGACTGGGGAGCTCTAGGGAATTTAGGCCTGGCGGATAGAGGGTGTCTCATGGCTGCATTGAAACGCCTGCCGCTGACTGTTACCAGACGGTGATCACGCATCAGCTCACAAATTTAATCAATTTCTCACTCGACGGGTGCGTTTCGGGTGGATGCGAACTAAATTTATCGCTCATCGAACAGAATAGGTTGAGTTTGTGAATCTTCTAGGTATACATAATCGAGCCCCCGCCCGGCATATCGGGTGCCCCGGTCTTTCTAATCGATGCTACAGTTCAACTATTTTCTTCTACGTGCCTTAACCCTCGCTCTGGTAGGAGGAGGGGGGGGGGGGGCTGGTAGGGATACAACCCCCCTAAGATCTTTGAAGATGCCTCTCAGGCATGTTGCGCGATCGCGCCCAATTTCTCAGCAAACTGTGGGGCTGACATTTGTCTGTATTTACACCAAAGTCATGCTCTTAGTTTTTCTAGCTTCGGAACAGCAACGGTTTTGGGGAAAACTGTACGGCGATATACGGCCGACGCGTGCGACGGTCAGCAACCGACGGCGCCGTGGAACGCGCGCCAGACCGACATTGCCACATTAACGTAACGACATATCATAACGAAATGCTCAAAACACACAAAAATACACCATTTTACTCAAAGTGGAACAAGAAACACATCTGTTAAGGTTTGGTGGCGTTGTGGCGGTTTTGGCTCGCTGAACGTCATTTGTATGCATAATGCTGCAAAGATGAAAATTTGCGGTTTTCTGGAAAGTTCGACATTTGACCTGCCATAAGGGGCTCAATTATGAAACCAGCAGGCTAGAAAGTAGTACCAATCGCGAGATGCTGTTGAGACCAAATTTCTGGTGATTTCCGCCAGTTTTGATTGGAAACGCGAGGGAGGTCGCATCCTCCGCCCATCAGTCCGCGTTAGGCAAACGGCGAATCGGGTCGAGGATTCAGTGCTATCCTTTTGATTTAATGGAAATGCATACAAGAATCGCGAACAACGTCAACACGCGCATGGTCCGCCGATGACGTCGGCAGCGATCCTCTTGTACTAGGTCCACTTGCCGAGGGCATATTCTAAGCATAGTCCCTCCAGTGCCCGGGTGCCGTATTGTTATCAGAACACATTTCACACATGCCAGTTCAAGAACCTGAACAAGTCGACTGTCCGAAGAAGCGATAGTCGTGTAAAAGCTCCCATGTCAGGAACGCATGGAAGCAACCGCAGTACCGGCTGCCTTCTATTGCAGAATGGTAGAATAATGCGCACTAATAGTGTCAATAGCAATAATGTACTTTCACGTTAACCAGCGCTGAATGCCACCGTTACAGCGAAGCGATAGATGATCTTCTGTTGAGGAACCATCCTGGCCGATTGTAATTTTTCATAGCGACCAATGCTGAGGCTTGAGGCCCAGATCAGATGAGGTGGATGATAGCCTTCTTGTTTACGACTGCCGTCCCCAACCCATCCCTGCGCCAGGCGGAGGCCTGTGCCTTTTCTAAATTGGGGAACGATTCGCAACAAATTTTGTGCAAACGCGGCCAACGGTTCCTCAAAAAATGATAAATTTTGCTGCCTTAAATATTCAATGTGACGTTTATAAATCATGCGAGGAGCTGAACACGTCTTATGTGTTCATAATGTATTTGAGCATCAAACGTTTGAGAAGATAAGCACATTGTGCGTTCATATCCGTACCATTACGTCTCAGCATATTTCCGTTACATTTCAGCATATTTCCATTACATCTCAGCTTGTAGTGCGTTAATTTTGTTCGGTATTTGTTTATTTCTCTTTGATTGCAAATGAATTGGGAATCGAAATCCCGGAGATTAGATGTTAAGTAATGGCGTCCTTTCATAGAGAGCACATCAAGCAAAGGTAAAAAGTTCAATAACAATTTCCCATTTTTTAAGGAAAAGTTACGGAGCTATGTAAAACACGTTACCAGATTCGCGTGCTGGGTTGTGGTTTACGCCAGAGCCAGCGACTGCTTTATTGCCAAGACGCACTGATAACAATAATTTTATCAGCCGCAGTCCCATAGACTTGACATTGGCGCTTTGCTTTTGGGAACCTAATTTTCTGTGATGACTCGCTAAATTTTGGAGCTATTGCAAAATTTTGATCATGCCTGTAAAGGTCGGTGTCACCACCATCCTGGTTCTCTTGGCTCTCGGCTTTTTACACGCACAATACTAATTGCCATCTATTGCACGAATTAACACATATGGCTTAAAAGTGATGGACTCAACGGATGCTGTGCTA